ACGGTGAAAAGGTGGGGCATGCTGACGATTCTTTGTTGTTGCTGTATCTAGGGTAACCCCTCAGGTCCCTCAAAATATGCAAGAGGACCTCCAGCGCATGGAGCTCGAGGCTACTTCTGTTGAACCACGACCACAACCCGATTCAGGCCCGGGTCCTCGTCACTCTCGTGAACCGTCGCTCTCTACTTACACCAACCCTCGGGGAGCCGACCCGCCCAGGCCCCAGCCGGCAACACAGGTCTCAAGCGACGACATCCGAGCATACCAGTCCACCGATAAGATCTCCGAGAGTCTCAGCACCATGAGCTTCGACGCCCCCTCATTTTCGCCTTTTCCCAAGGTAAAGGGCGATAACATCCCCCCAACTGACGAGGAAAAGGAGGAGATCCTTTGGAATGCGCGCAAGCATGTTCTTCACTCACAGAATGTTTCTATGCAAATTACATGGGCGCGCGATGTCCTTACTTGGGCCGACATTTCCCAAGAGTCCATGATACGCGAATATGGCGAAAAGGCCCGACCTGCTACGCCCCGCATAGAACACGAACTCCGAGTCGATGCAATCAACATTATTACCTACTTGTCGCAACAAGAACACCCTGAAGCACTCTACATGCGCTCAAAATGGCTCGAGTTTGGCAAGTTTGGTAACCGTGTTGACAAGCGCGAGGCTTATATCGGCTACAAACGCGCCGCAGAACTCGGTCATGGAAGATCCGAGTATCGTATGGGCATGTTGTACGAGCAGTCGAATGACATGTCCAAGGCGAAGGAGCATTACTACCGCGGTCTTTCCCTCAAGGACTCAGCCTCGTTGTACCGAATGGGCATGATGAGTCTTTTAGGCCAGCATGGCGAGACGAAAGATTACTCGACTGGTCTGGAGCGGATACATGCCGCGGCCGACAGCTCCGACGAAGACGCCCCTCAGGGTGCCTATGTTTACGGTATGCTCATAGGACGCGACTTACCAGACATAACAATCCCCGAGGGCTTGCTGCCCAACAATCCATTGACGACAAAGATGTATATCGAGAAGTCTGCTTATCTTGGGTTTGCTAAGGCCCAACTCAAGATGGGACAAGCATACGAACTCTGCCAGTTCGGATGTGACTTCAACCCGTCGTTCTCTCTTCACTACTACGGCCTAGCAGCTAAGCAAGGTCTTCCCGAGGCAGCTCTCGGTGTGAGTCGATGGTTTCTCTTTGGCTATGAGGGCGTTTTCAAGAAGAACGAGTCGCTCGCTTACAAGTATGCTCAAGAGGCTGCTGCAGCTAAGCTACCGACAGGAGAATTTGCCTTGGGCTACTACAACGAAATAGGAATCCATGTTGAGAAGAGCTTGTCAGAAGCTAGAAAGTGGTATCAACTGGCCGCGGATCACGGCAATCAAGACGCCCTTGGCCGACTCGATTCTCTGGATGAGAATAACACTCTGTCCAAATCCGACCACGAAACTACCACACTGACCCGCATCAAGTCGCAACATGGATCGCAGCGAGGCAAGCGTCCTGATCGCTTCAAGCAGCCACAGCAAATGCCTACCCTCAGTGAAGGAAGTGCCCCTGCTTCACCTTCACTAGACGGACCGGGTTATCCCAAGCCACAGGATCCGCAATCCAATCCTTCTCTCGGAATACGGCCCACCATCGTCTCGGAGCACGTTAACTTCCCAGACCCCTCGCGGGCTTCTTTTGTACTCCCTGCGGCAACGGACAGACCTCCTGCCTTCAATGTTAGATTGGATGCCAACCAAGGCCCAGTCCGACCCCAGTCGGCAGCTCCCTACCCCGAAGATGACCGGCCACCACCCCTAACAGTTCGTTCCAAGTCCACCGCACCTTACCCCGAGGACGATACCCAAGGTCCTACTTCTCCTCGTTTTAATCAAGGCGGACGTATGGGACCCCCTTCAGGACCCCCTTCAGATCGCCCATCAAGTGCTTTTGGCATCAAGCCACAATCAGGTGGTCCTCGTCCTATGCCGCAATCTCAGTCGATGGGCAATCTTCACCCTGGAGGCCCCGGAGGTCCCGGCCGACCCGACCCCCGCAACAGGGCTGCATCTACTGGATGGGAAGGCCAGCAAGGACCCGGAGGACGTCCTTCTCCCTATCCAGAAGATAACGGAGCACCATACGGTGGAATACAAAAGACACCCACTGGTGGCCAATACTCGCCGGGTTTGCAAAACCCGCAGTCCCAAAACTATGAACGCTTCTCGCGCGTACCTGGAGCTAGTGGGCGCCCCGAGCGTGGGAGCTCTCTTCCCCAGAATCAGCAGCAACAGCAGCAACAATTACCACCTCAGGCGAACCGACCTCCACGAACGTCAAGTGCTCAGCCGCCAATGGTGTCTGGGGGTGCTGGCCTGGGCGGCAGGCCGTCTCCGGGACCTTATGGCGGACCTCAAGGAGGATTTCAAGGGGGCCCAGCTGGTCCTTCAAGAACTGGAAGTGCACCTCCCTCACAATTTCAGCGGCCCGATAACAGGCCGAGCCCAGCTCCCAGCGCTGCAACAATGCCACCAAAGGGAGCAGGCAAACAGGGACCTGCAACATTTGAAGATATGGGTATCCCACAAGGAAAACAGGACAGTGACTGTGTAAGTCTGCCAGTAGATTTGTGTTTATTGACGGGGCACTAACACCATGGACAGATTCTCATGTAAAGTTGGAAGTGGATAGGAAGGACTAAACCAAGTGGGACATGGATGAACCAGTTGTTTCAGAGACTAAATTCGAACACATAAAGCCGGTTGAAAGGGCATCTTTTTGGAGTCGAGCTCGCGGACGGTATGCATTTGCACTGGGCTGGGACGTAAATATCCGTGAGACAGGACAGGGTTGGCAGGGTTTGTTGCGTAAAAACGCTGAATATTTGGGTATCGAGTATTGTAGGTATGATTTCTCAATGTATTGAGTTCAAGATGCGAACCAGGATAGCGTGCGTCGATGGCGATGTTCAGAGGAGTATTGTTCTTTCATATCTTGTTGCAGTCTGGAGTCGTTGGGTGTCTGTGTGACAATGGCTCTGTTCGAGCTGGACTTAAAAGATGATGTTCGAGTATAACGGTTCTGTGCCCAAGCGGTGAACTTGTGGATGACCCGACGAACAATCCTCTGAAGGGTCTGAAGGACACAAGAGGAGCAATGATGAACACTGTTGAGCAATGAGTATATAACTCTGCGTATCATCCAGTCACTACTCTCGTCCCTATCTTCCTCCAGTGTTCCGTCGGCGCCTTGAGCTGATTGCAAATAGACTATCCTTTATCATACATCAATCAACTCTTCCACTATCAATATGGCACGGGCAGATCAAGGCTTCCAGCTGCACTCCCTGAGTGCTGTTGGACAGGCATATACTCCCTTCTTAGGAAACACCGAGAGACAATCTGACCGCGCGAATCAATCAGTATCCGAGTTCGGGCAGAGCCTGTTCGAGGAGGTGCTCAGCCCACCCTCTTCAGATGGCGCTCGAGCTCCAGCACCACCCCCTGATGGTGGATGGAGAGCGTGGTGTGTGGTTTTGTCCACCCACTTGGTATATGTGAACACCTGGGGCTGGGTAAACTCGTTTGGCATTTTCCAGGCCTATTATGCTGAGCATCTGGATCTCCCAGCTAGCAAGATCTCGTGGGTAGGTTCTGTCAGTGTTTTTCTTTTATTCTTTGTCGGTACCTTGACAGGCCGCCTTGTCGACGCTGGATATTTCCGCTGGGTGTTTGCCTGTGGCATTGTCTTGCAGGTCACAGGTATCATGGCTACTTCGTTCAGCACCGACTATTGGCACTACTTTGGTGTTCAAGGTGTTCTCGTTGGTCTGGGGCATAGCTGTCTGTTCTGCCCCGTGCTGGCAGTACTATCGACGTTCTTTGCTAGAAAACGGGCTTTGGCCATGGGAGTCGCAGCATGTGGGAGTGCAACAGGGGGTGTCTTGTTTCCCCTCCTGGTTCGAGCTCTGCTTCCAAAGGTAGGTTTTAGCTGGACTCTGCGCATTGTGGGTTTCGTGCAGCTTTTCCTTCTACTTATCGCCCTGGTTCTTGTTAAGCCTCGGCTTCGACCACGTCGGTCTGGCGCCCTGGTAGACTATTCTGCCTTCAAGGATATTGAGTACGTGCTGTACGTCACAGCCTCGTTTTTTACTTGCCTAGGGGTATATCTAGCTTACTATTTCATGGCAGCTTTCTCACGTACCGCTATCGACCCGCCCTTCACCTTCAATCAATCTCTGGATCTTTTGATGATTTTGAACGGTGTTGGCGTTTTTGGTCGACTGCTCGCAAATTGGACCGCCGATCACGTCGGCGCCATCAATGTCTTCGCACCGCACTCTTTCTTTGCTGGAGTGATACTCTTTTGCTGGCTGGGGGTTAGCGACAAACCAGGTCTGTACGTATGGTCCGTCTTCTATGGTATCCTCGCCGCCGCGATTCAGAGTCTCTTTCCGACTGGTATATCTCTGCTGACTGAGGATTTGAACAAGATTGGTGTTAGGATGGGAATGGCCTTCACGATTGCTAGTTTTGCTTCCCTCGCGGGACCACCTGCTGCAGGTGCGATTATTGATGCAGAGCATGGCTTCAAAGGTGCACAGGCGTTTGCTGGTACAGCTATGTTGTTGGGTGCATTGTTTCTCATTGCAGCCAAGAAGAAGAGGATGGCTAGACTTGGAACCGGTTGGTTCGAAAAGTGCTGATTTGGTCAAGCTTGGTTTGGAACGGTAAGTAAAGTGTGAAAAATAGAAAGGGGTGGTTAGCGTTTTATATTTGTCCTTTTGATCAGCTAACAGATTGTCCGACTATGGCACCTATCTGAATATAAATCGATTCCTAATACCCATCATGCCCATTTTACCTGAGTAATTTTCCATGTATAACTGATTACTAACACGCAAATAATGCTTCTTCCTTGCAATGGCTACCTCGGTACTTAGGTTTTATCAACTCCCCAATAATACTTGACATTTGTCTTTAATGAACTACAGCTAATCATTTTCTAGTCATCAAGTTTAATGACAACCTTTCCCACCTGCTTGCCTTGCCAAACATACTCGATTGCCTCGTCAGCTTTATCGAAAGACCAAGCTGAGTCAAGAATATCCTCGAAAGTCATCTGTGTCGCAGAGATGGCAGCCATAAGCTCATCCTGATCATCCTTAGATCCCGCATTGATACCGCGAACGTTCAGCCGTCGATCAATGATAGTGGAAACAAACTCCTTTAAATGTTCGAGATTAGAGCCGCCCAGATAACCAACTTGGCTGACAATGCCTCCACGTCGAGTGCACTCCATGGACCGAACGAGAGAAGTGCTGCCACCGTTCTCGACGACGAGATCAGCGCCGACACCATTTGTTAGACGAAGAACTTCCTTGTGCCATTCTGGGTGGGTCTTGTAGTTGACAGTTTGGATATCTGGCTTTCCGAATTGCTTCTTCATCTGTTCCAACTTCTCATCACTTGAGGAAGTCAGTATGACTCGGAGACCAGAAGCGCGAGCCAGCTTGAGAGCAAAAGTGGAAACGCCACCAGTGCCTGAGATTTGTTAATTACCTAGGTGCCATTGTCTTATCATCAAAATTCTGTGAAGGGACTTGCCTTGGATCAAAACCGTTTGCCCGATAGTAGCTCCCTTCAGGGCAGACCAGGCGGTTGTTCCAGCACAAGGAATGATCGAAGCCTGAATCCAATCAAGATGCTCAGGTAATTTCGTCACCAACTTCTCATCAAAGACAATATAAGTGGCCAAGATGCCATCCTCATTGGCTGCTAGCCAAGACCTTCCCGTCGAGCGAGCATTCACAAATTCTGAGTCCGTGATCGGAGCAACACGATCGCCAATTTTGACGAGCGAGACTCTATTCCCGACTGAAATAATCTCGCCGGCGGCATCATTGCCAGGAATACCATTGAGAGTAACGGGCCAGGGGTTACCGCCATTGGCTATGTTGGCATCGCGATAGTTGAGAGCAACTGCGTGCACTTTTATGAGAAGGGCTGTCGGATGAAGAGGAAGAGGCAGGTCTTCTGTGACGAGTTTCACCTTAGGGGTGCCCTTTGCATAATCGTCTGTTCGACGCCAGGCTTGACGTTGACCTTGAGTTGGTTGAGACATTTCTGGCTATGAAGAGAGTGATTTCGAGTAAGATAATGTATCAGAGATGAGTACCTACTGCTGTCGTGCCCTGATCTCGGAGCGGGAGACCATTGTACTTATACTGCGGTTATCGTGATGAGGTGTCTTGTTGCTGACAGATCCACGCGGGGTAACTTCCTTTATAATCAATCTTGGTATGGTATGGTATGGTATGGTATGCTATCAGGAGTAGATCAATACATCACTGTATCTGAATCATTTTCCTCAAATCTTTTCTTGTTTTGGTCACCAAGACTTGGAGGAGTGTTCGGTCTTGCCTAACGTCGGGTTCCTCAACCGTAGGCTACCCACATCTGAAGGAAGATTGCAACTATCACGAGGTTGGCCAAATGTCCAAAATTGAAAAGAGTATCTTATCCTGCAGCGAGTATATCATTGATTAGAAGTTGCGCTAAATTTGATATTCTTGGAAGATTCACGGATGGCGTGGATACATACCACATACTCAGAACTCGGCTGCCACACCCGAACATGATGAATGTCTGGAGGAATCGATTCAATGGGAAAACGGATGTGAACAAACATGTCAGATTTCTTTGAAGGCTTGAACTTGGAATGAGCAGCGGAAGCAATAAACTTGATTTAGCAACATGATTCGTCACTACCTACTTTTACTGTTGAACAGTACCTCACCACCTGAAGCAGCTGACTTACACCGTCGTCCAACCTTGCATTATCTCGGGACAGGAACCCGCGGATACCACCGAAGAATGTACCAGTAAGTCTCCCGTTTCCCTTTTTGATATTCAGATGATATCTCCTTTAGAACTCCGTAATCTCGCAGACCGAAAAAGGAAAGTTTGAAGAATATTCCTATCCAAATGAGGAGAAGCCGTTGATAGATCGGCATCCTCTGGATTCGTGGCGTCGAAGCTTCATGCTTGGGGTGCAGGGGAATCTGAAGTAGGCCCGGGTTTTCAGAGTTGCATCGGTATAAGGCCAGCGTGTATAAGAAGTGTGATACCATGTTCTAGCTTCTTCGTTCAATTATTCTTCACATGCTCTCTTCCAACAGTCCTACAAGGTTCTCTCCACTCTTTGCCCAACAAGATAAGATGTCTGAGCTCAAGATAGCAAAGATAGACGTCTTCAAAGTCGACCTCCCTTACTCAGGGGGTGTTTACTACCTGTCGGGTGGCCGAGAGTATAGGAGTTTTGACGCAACCATTGTCCGAATCACCACAAGTACTGGCATCGAAGGATGGGGCGAGAGCACCCCTTTCGGGTCAACTTATATCGCCTCTCATGCTCTTGGCGTGAGAGCAGGTATCGCTGAGATCGCTCCCTGTCTGATCGGCTTGGATCCAAGGCGAGTTGATCGAATCAACGAAGCCATGGACTCTGCTCTGATCGGCCACGAGCACGCCAAAACTCCTATCGACATTGCCTGCTGGGACATTTTCGGCAAGTCAGTGGGAATGCCTGTTTGCGAATTGCTTGGTGGCCGCACTGATGTTGGTCTGCCTATCATCTCGTCAATCTACATGGACGAACCCGAGGATATGCGAAAGCGTGTTGCAGAGCATAGAGCACGGGGATACATCGGACACTCGGTCAAGATCGGCGGAGATCCCGCTGAAGATGCTCGGCGAATAACTGCCTCGCTCGCTGATAAGCAGCCCGGGGAGTTCTTCCTGGTAGATGCCAACGGTGGAATGACAGTTGAAAACGCCCTTCGGATGTTAAGGCTCCTCCCGCCGGGCTTAGACTTTGTACTCGAAGCTCCATGTGCCACATGGCGTGAAATCGTCTCTCTTCGTCGAAGAAGCAACGTGCCTATTCACTTCGACGAGCTCGCCACCACAGACGCATCGATAATCCAGATGATAGCAGATGACGCGGCCGAAGGCTTTGGGATCAAGATTTCCAAGAACGGCGGTTTGACCAAAAGCCGACGACATAGGGACATTGCTCTTGCGGCAGGCTACACCATGAGTTGTCAGGAGACCACCGGGTCGGATATTGCTTTTGCCGCAATCGTCCATCTTGGGCAAACTATTCCGGAGAGGAATCTCAGGTGTATATTGGAGTGTAGAGATATGGTTACCGTGAAGACAGCGGACGGGAACTTTGAGGTTAGGAACGGGAGGGTTCATGCACCAAAGGAGCCGGGATTGGGGGTTACGCCTCGGATGGATGTCTTGGGTGATCCTGTTGCTAGTTACTCCTGACTTGAAAAGAGATGAGAGAACAATGGGATTATTTAGAAGAAATGTGCACTTCTCCCATGTCCCTGATCACATCACTTGCACGTAACTAGGTAGGTATGCATAAACTTCTAAGGCCTCCCGGTTACATTACATTCTATCTCTTGCGGCCTAATCAATTTGACGCGTCTGCTGTGGTTGGCCGTCTGCATGAGGCCGTCTTTTGAGGGCCGCCCGACTCGCAAACGGCCACCAGCAGTTGGCCCCCTGCCTGCGATTTGCTGCAAGGCAGCCAGCCACAGAGCGAACCATTTTCAAGTCAAAGATATGTATGCACTTGTATGGGTAGGTAGGTGCTAAGGTAGATATATACCTGAAAGATAGATTCAATTTTGATATCGTTCATATTTTGTTTGCTGGTCCAATCATCCTGCCTGGAGGCTCACTTTGACTTCAACTACAGAAACGCCTTTGATATCTATCAACCTGGTTCACAGAGCACTGGAAGCCTACGTCAACTGCCTGGATATCAGGTAGGCACCAATAATTTACTCTCTTTTGATGTTGTTTGAAATAGTGGACTAGGTAGAAAGGGGAGCTTGTCTTGGTATCGCATGTACTGACAGTTGCTGCCAGTGCTGGTATCATCAAGCAACAGCAGCCTCACAAGGTGCATGAATCATTCACCCACCCTTGGCATTGTTGGCTTTGATTCTCCAAAACAAACTCTTCGATTATCTCATTTCGTTTCGTTTCATTTCATTTCTCTCTTCTCTTCTATCCTCCCCAACCTTACTCTTACCTTTCATCTTCCTCAACTTTGTATCGTGAGTACCTACAACCTCACCTGCTACGTACAGAGTTCTCTCACAACCGCAAGACATCTTAACTTAACTCTTTGAGTGCCCCATATTTGACACTGAATCACCTGGTCTAGGTACCTTAGTACCTTACCTTATTGCTACCTACTAGGTACTAACCTAGAAGCGATGCCTCCCCCCGTGACCTCCGTTCCCCCCCGAAATGGCAGGAGCGACAACGAAAAACCCTTGTCCCTCAACGACGCTCTTTATAACCACCTCGTGCTCCCCCCGCAACTCCCGCAAAGACAGGACTCTAATCTCGACGAGCTCGAGAAAGCCCTGCTTAACAGATTGTTGGTTTCTGTGAAGCACATGCGAGATCTTCCTGGCAACGACCAGAGTTACGTCTGGAGCTTGATCGAACGAAGCCTTCGTGCTACCCAAAGCATTCACGCCGGAGGTCACGTCGACCGAACTGCACTCGTTAGAGAGCTCAACGATTTTGGAGAGTCGGACTTTCTGGCCGTCTATGTACGGAGTCAGAACTGTGCCCTCTACATCCGCCGTTCGCAAGAGTAAGCTCTGTCTTCAAACCTCGTCTGCAAACCACCGCATGTCAACTAACTTGACCCAGTGCTGTTTTTGGACCTTCTGTCATATTCGAGGCCTTTGAGACTTCGGCGCGCAATGAGGATGTTCTAGCAACTGAAAATGCGCTTCAGTGGGACTTTCCTGGATGTGCAGTAGCAGTCCCCCTCGCTACGTTCCGCGAGAATGGTTTCATCTCCAACCTAGCCAATTTCCTCGACAACGCTTCGCGGGAATCACTCACCGATTTCTCCGCACAAGCACTCAAAGCGGGAACATCTATGCCCGAGTTTCGTAACACATCAGAGCCTGCTCTTGTTTCCTCCATGCTCATGGCTATTCTGCAACAAAACGGTCGCCGCCTCGCCCCAACTCTTCTACAAAAGATGGTTCGGGACGATGTACTGTGGAAAAACGCAGAAAGACCATGGAAACGACTTCCTTATTGGCTCGTGCTGCGAGTTGCCACCTCTCGATATCTTGCTCAACGTTTGGGTGAAATTGGGCGAGTTGAGTACAAGTTTTTGTTAGCTCACCTCTTCAGTGAATTCCTCACACATGTGCAGCAATCAGGAATACGACTTGACCGTCTCGATTTCCTCAAGAAAAAGATCTGCCGACGGCTAGTCAAGCTGGAAGTTGATAAGGATCAGTCTCAAGATATAGCCCAGAGAATTGAGTATCTATTCACCCAACTCGGTCCCGGGTTACAGAACTCAATTTCCAAGGCAAATGCTTTCATAGAAGTGTCGTGGAAGCACCAGAAGTTGACCATGACTAAAACGATCCCTCCGCTACCGAAGCAGGCTTGTTTCGAGGATATGAAGCTGAACCTGAAGATGAGCGGGATTACCCTCAACAAAATCTGGAGAGGCTATTCAAAGCCTTTCAAGTCCAATACTGGGCGACAAGGAACCACGAATGTTGCACAGGCTGCGAAGCAGCATCTCAGCTCGTTTGCTCTTGAGCACTTCAAGTTAATTGACAAAGAACTGACCATCGTCAGCTTTTGCCATGAGCAAAGCTCCCTTCCACGCACAAAAGTCGTAAGCGCAGCTGCTTCGATCAACGAGTATCTGCGACAAGCCTTTAGGGCCTACGGTGGTATTCCCGAACTCAAGAGTACACTGATCTTGAACATCATGGATCTATGGGTTACCATGGATAAGGCAGCGTGTGCGATGTACCCACTCCTCAGCGAATTTCACCCTGTCTTTCGACCTGAGATGCTTGATGTTCTGCTACTTTCTACCTTCGATGATATGAAGCGGCTGCAGAAGATCCAGGTTTATCTACAGGATCGCATTACTGCTTGCCAAGGTTCAACAGTCAGCATTTTTGACGATCCTGTCCGCGGATCATTTGGTCATCGCTTCTATGACGACTCTGACATGTCTGATGAGATGAACGACTTGCATGGGTCAATAGAGGCATGGGCTACCCATTTGCGAGACAGCAAAGAAAAGGAATGGGAGACAAAAAGTGAAGAGTACTCAAAGCTATCCAAAGCTATTGATGAGAGTACATGCGTCTACATGGTGGACGACGATAACCCCCACTTGCCCCCATATCATGACCGCGAGTGTCGTCGCTGTTACTTAAAGCGGCAGTTGAAGAGAATTAGTATTCTGGCCTACGAACATCCACTTCCTTCTGATCCTCATGTCGCGAAGGCTGTCGTTTTCGAGCTGCTTTGCCCTCAGACCTTGGCAAAATATCGAGATGCTACATGGACCGTTATGTCGATAGCCTTGCCAGCAGAGAAAGGTGTTGACCCGAAGTGCTGGGCACGAGACTATCAACAGCTGCAGAAGTATGCCAACGACTCATCAATGAGCTGCTCCCTAGCCTCCGTCACTAAACCTTGTAAGTGTTCAGACTCACGTTACCCACCCCAAGTCCACCCTTCAGCATGATGTCTATTCTAGTTCGAGAAGAATCACACAGTTTGTCCTAAGATTGAACCGATCACATAGGTTAGGACCAATACAACTGCTCCCTTCGACCTCACTTATACCAATTCAATATTGAGATTAGATTATAAGCAAAACCCAGCTAACTTTAGAACAGTCGTCTCTACCCACTACCACTCTTTGGCATTCCCCATCGAATGGGATAACGGCAGATACGGCGTGTGTCGACCAAACGGATTAAAATTGGCATATTGTGATAAAAACTCGAAACAATGGCCCAGCCGTCGGGGTCATCTGAGCTTCTTACATCATGTGAAGCTTGAGATACCCGACTCTTCCCCATTCTCACAGCAAGACGCTGCCTTCTTCAAGAGTATTTACGGGCCATCCTCTTACGAAATCATGGCCACAGCTTCGAGATGCCCACAGGGTATCAATGTTCATGAATATCTTGCTTTTCAGACGGTTGCATCTGGAAAGTCCAGGCGCTGGCTATCTATTCTTGCCGAGTTGGCATCGGCCAACCTGAACTTCTCCAACGAGGCCACGATGTTACTCGTCACTCACCTGGCTCTTCAGTGCGGGCCCCTAGATGATTCCAGGAGTGGATTTCGCATCATCCATGAGGTTTTCCGTGACCGTGCATTCTGCGAGACCTTCGTGGAGCAAATATCACATCGCCTGGACAGCCTGGCGGCTAATTGGAGAGAAATATATCTGATGGAAACCATCGTCATCTTCACCCTCCGTCTCCTCGACTTTGCCTGGGCAGCACGTATGCCCAATATTTCTGACCAGGCAATTTCCCTTTTGCTACGTGCCAGAAACACATGTGTGCGTTGGTTCAAGCTCCTTCGTGCTGAATCCTACAAGGTTGTCGAAACTGAGACAGCACGACGGTTCCAACAGTATGGTCTTTGGGCTGCCCTGTTGTGCAAACACACATTTGTACCTCTGGCCTCAGGCAGTCTTGAATTCGATGATTCGTCTCTCGAGGTATTCATCCAGAGCAGTATCACGGTAAATGATAGCCTTGTGGTTAAGCTGGAGGCGCTTCCTCAGCTCCTCCAGCATGCCATCATCCGAGATATCCGACTTTCATATCGACTTGCCCCGGTTGTGTCGAAGCGAATCGTTGATGGCTTGGAAGTGTTCCGACGATCCCTCTGTGAGATGTGGCCCGAGGAAGAAGGATGTCCTCGAGTATTCTCGCGAGTGGAATTGGACCCAGAAGCGCCCGGTTGGGTATTGTGCCGATCTACAACAGGCGACGGCGTGGACTCAATTGAGCAGAATGTTTCATTCAACTGCGTTAGAGGGCTGCTCCTTGTCGATTGGCAACCGATGGGAAAACTCCCAGAAGACCCGAAATATTCTGTTGTTCTGAACGAACTTTTTGGTAACCAAGCTCTCCTGACATTCCCGTCACGTCGCCCGGAGATGCAGTACAGTAAGTGCATCTCATCGACTCGGCGAACAACGTGCTTTATGCTAATTGCAAAACAGTTCTATGCGTGAAACCTCGCGGATATCAGGTACATGTGGGATATGGTAGTGGAACGCAGGAGTTGATTGTAAGAGCTTTCCGAAGAGACTATGCACTGCAATTGATCCCACGTGAGATCTTTCAAGGCGACTACCCCGATCTTCCTGGTCCCCTTTTGCGCAATTGCTTTCATTGGATGCACTTGAGAACGGGAGAAATTTTCATAACCTCCAAGGACAGACCGTGGCCGAATGACCCTCACAAGGGGTACATTTTGAGCCTCAAAGACTACACATGTTCGAGGATGCGCCCAAACCGAGGCCTTCGTACAAAGGATTATATTGTCAACCCGTCAAGTCCACTCTTTAATCGTATTAGCCGAATTCTAGACTCACTTGAAGATCGCAGCCAGATAACTGTGTATCAACCTGGAGGAGACCGGAACCTTACCGTGGAGCTGCCAAGACTCAACATTGTGTTCTACACCAACAAGAACCGTCTACTTGAGTCTCCTCAGCTACAATGCCAAATCGACAAGGACCAAGATGCTGGGACATGGTACGGCCTCCGCAGTAAGCTCGTATGCACTAGCCTTACCAACCCGATGCACAGGTCTATCTTGGTGCCTCTCGGGCCCGTTTCTGCGAGGTCAGAAGGGTGTCATGTAACAGTGAGGGTCGAGCCCTCAGATAAATTTGGAAGGTTCAATATCAACAGCACACTTGGACGGATCGACTGCGCGCCTGAGCCCACACTGGTTTTTACTAAGGCTCTTCTTCATGCATGTACATCTTTTCTTCTGCCCGATCCTCTGACCGGCCGCACTGGAACTGAAGAAGCTATTGAGTGGCTTCAAGCAGGCATATCTCAGCCATGGTCCTCCCTTACTCCACCCTCTATATTGGTACTGCACAAGATAGCTGGGCTAACGCCGAGTAGAGTGTACTATCCACAAGATCTTAAGGTCATGCGTACAGATACCTGGATTGAGTCCCTCCCTATCATTCTTCAGAACTCCGCATATAGACAAATTGTGGATCGTATCCTTCAAGAGTCTGTAACTTTAGGAATGTTTGCAGCCAAAGAACAGGTTATTCCGAAGATGCCTCAGCTACCTCATTCAGGAGATGTGCATCTACATGCACGAGCGATGTTTCGACAAGGTGCTGTTGCAAGGTGTTCAGGGATTACGTCCAACTGCACACAGCCAGCTAACCAGAAGTACGTGTCTCGAGATCGCCCCTCAACAGTCAATATCATGCATCGAAATGTGCTTGAGGTCACAAACCTGATCCGGAAATGGCCCCAGAGCTTCAAGACGACAGATTGTATTGCTCAAATTCTCTCGCAGGGCAGCACTGTTGGTGGATTTACATCAGCCTTCAGTGGGACATCTATCAATGAGAAGTTGAAGGTTAATATCCTTCAACATTGGGGGTCGCTGGTCCGGTTTTCCCGTGAGTCAACAGATCGATACAAGTTGATGTACCTGCTAGGGCCAATGTCGTTCCATCTTGACGCAAATATGCCACTTCTTCGAACCCTTGTTGCGTCCGCGGTTTTCAGTGATCTTAAAGATCTTGAATTGCCTAAATGGGATGAATTCGATCATTTTCAACCGAATCAGGCACCCCAGCTTGACTATATTCTGCATTTGCTGAAGCCCTACAGAGTTGCTGCGCCAGAGAACGATGCGATGAGCTTGGGGCAGTATTCAAGTGGAAAACTATTACGCAAGTTGCAAATTGAGCAAGCGAAACATGAAGCCAGAGTCGAGGACGATTGCAAGTACTTGGTCAACCACCTCCTCAGCCAGTGGCCTTGCCTAGAACCTAATGTCAGTGGTCTATCTCGGTCTGTACTTATTGACATCGGCCCTGCGCTGGAAGTTATTCGTCCCGAATGGAAACGCCTGTTCATGAACAAAGATCTCACTGAGCATCTAAAAGAGGTCCAGACTATTCTTGATAGACGAAACCTTGAAGACCGGTACGAACCACGTACGGTTCCCATATCCGAGGAGACCTACGCGGTAAGAATGCGAGACGGTGTTGAGACCGTCGACCTTCGGCAACTGCTGGCCAAACCGTATCGTATTCTTAAGGTCACGACAAACACGAATCGAATTACTTCTGCAGCCTCTGTCGATCGACCATTTCTGAGTGAAAATGACTTTTTCCCAGGGTTCGGCAATTTCTCTTGGCAAAGAAACACAGGTTCTGTGGCCAACCCTCCTTGGCCTGGTTTCGCAAGGCCTCATAATGCCCAAAGGGATGAGCATATGTCAGAATCGACTGTGAGATCGGAATCCAGCATGCAATTGAATATCATAACCCAAAGCTTGGGAGCATCTCGGTCAGCTGTTCGGCGCCGTTACGCAGCGGACTTCCAGAAGAGTCTCGCGGCTTTCCAGCACACTCCATTGACCAGTCTTAAAAAGTCGATGAAAACTCGAGATGTTGAGATCCACTCCAGTCTAGAGAAGGTTGATGGCGGCTTCGGGGCGATCTGTACAGCCTTGGAGTCAAGTGGAATATTATCACAGAGAAGGATCTTTTGGCTCAAAGCAGGAAACCTGTGGCCGATTGTGACCAAGGCCACTCTGCTCTCTTGTCTCGGATCAGCTGCTGATGTCACAGAATTTGGAAGTGGAATGAAAAAGGCCATTTTAGAAATGGGAGTTGACATTACGAAATACCAAAGACAGGTCCGACTTCATGACTTAGCGTCAAAAGGCGTCTCGGGAAGGTATCACGAAGAGGAGTCCAACGAGGGACATTCGAATTGGAAGCCCGAAGAGCATCCAGATTGGCTCCTGTTAGAAATAGAGTCGAATATGATGATTCGACCTGTTCAGGTTGATGTAGCTTTGGCCACAATCTCCCCTGGGTCGGGATCAAATTCTGTGCTTCAGATGAACATGGGCCAAGGTAAGTTGCCACTGGAAGATCAAAATATCGGCCTTTTTGAGTACTAATCAATTTCACAGGGAAAACCTCCTGTATTATCCCTATGGCTGCGGCAGCACTTGCCAACAAGAAGCAGCTTGTGCGAGTCGTTGTACCAAAAGCTCTGCTCCAACAAACAGCTCAGCTGTTGCAGGCCAGACTCGGTGGTATCCTTGGACGGGGTATTCGGCATGTCCCCTTCTCGCGCCGAACTCCAACTACCGAGAAAAACATACGAGCCTATCATTCTATTCATAGAGATATGCTCAAGTCCGGGGGTGTCATGATCTGCCAACCCGAACATCAAATGTCATTCATGCTTAGCGGCCGACAGCGACTCCTGGACGAGCAGCCAGCTCAGGCAGGACCGATGATCAAGGTCCAAGAATGGCTCACAAGGGTGTCAAGAGATATCCTAGACGAGTCGGACTATACTCTGGCAGTGAGAACTCAGCTCATCTACCCATCTGGAGCTCAGACTACGGTTGATGGACACCCACATCGCTGGCTCGTGGTTGAAGCTGTGCTGAGACTTGTCGATAATCATATGTATGGTTTGTCAAGATCTTTTCCCCACTCCATCAGTGTTATTCGACGAAACGGGGGGGGATTCCCCTTTGTCTTCTTCCTCAGGCAAGACGTTGAGGATGAGCTAGTGCGAAGACTTACAGCAGACATTTGTCACGGTGCTGGTGGGATTCTGCCTCTTACTGAACAGGCAATGGCAACTAAAGACAGAGTCGCTGTCAAGAACTTTCTCATGCACGCTCGACCTAACGCTGCAAATATAGAGCGCATGCGGAATCTCTCGCCAGACAAACCTAGCTTGAAACAAACAGTTTATCTTCTCCGAGGCCTCCTCGTCAATCGCATCTTAATGATGACCCTCAAGAAGCGCTGGAATGTAGAGTACGGTCTCCATCCGCACCGCGATCCTATAGCAGTGCCTTTTCACGCCAAAGGTGTTCCGAGCGATCAATCCGAGTGGGGTCATCCTGACGTCGCAATACTGTTCACTTGTTTGGCGTTCTACTATGATGGCATAAATCTAGCTCAACTTCGGCAATCACTTGAACATATCCTCAAGTCTGACGATCCATCAACCGAATACGATAACTGGACCCAGAGCTCTGAGAATTTCCCTTCTTCACTCAAGGCCTGGAACTCAATCAACGTGGATGATGAGATGCAGCTTAGGGAGATTTGGAATGTTGTGCGGTACAATGAGGTAGTCATAGATTATTTCTTAAACAACTTCGTGTTTCCACGACACGCCAAGCAGTTTGAGGTGAAACTTCAGGCCAATGGCTGGGACATTCCACTCTCACCCCTCGGGAGTACAACAGAGAATGACAAAGAGAAGACAGGCAACCCGCTGAGTACAGGCTTCAGTGGTACCAACGACAACAGAACAATGCTTCCTTTGAACATTCAACAGCAAGATCTGCCGAGTCTTCATCACACAAGCGCAGAAGTTTTGACCTATCTCCTTCACCCTCGAAATCGCCATTGCATTCTACCTCGGGATGTGAAAACTCAACACATGGGCAGGGCCACCGAGATAGATCTCCTGCGGTGCCTTCAGTCCAAGTACATCCGTATATTGATCGACGCGGGAGCCCAGATCTTGGAGATGGACAACTACACTCTTGTTCAACAGTGGCTAAAGATTGACCCCTCCGCTTTGGCAGGCTTGTACTTTGACGAGGAAAACAAACCTTGGATTCTGACCAAGGAAGGAAGAAGAACACCCCTTCTCGCGTCTCCTTTTGCTGATGACCTTTCAAACTGCTTAGTATACCTTGATGAGGCGCACACCCGTGGCACTGATCTTAGGCTCCCTCCTGAAGCTAAGGGTGCCCTCACTCTCCGCCTAGGCCAGACCAAGGACCACACTGTTCAGGGTATGTTGTTAAACACTTCTAAGACCGGTTCGCTAACAACCCGTAGCTGCTATGCGTCTACGACAGCTGGGAACAACCCAGATTGTTTCGTTTTTTGTCCCTCCTGAGGTCCACCAGAGCATCTCAGACCTGCAAAACAAGACTATTCATGAACCCATCGACTCAGCCGATGTCATCGAATGGCTTTTGGATAATACATGCGACCAAATTGAGCAGCTGCAGCCCTTGTACTATTCACAGGGCATGGATTACTGCCGTCGAATGCAGGCCGCTTTAGATCACCCGGACTTCTTGACTGACAAGCCTCAGCGAAAAGCATATGTCCAGGCGATTAAGCAGGATGAACAGCAGAGCCTACAGAATCTTTACGAACCCAAATTAAAGAACCGCGCTGTCGGCATGCAGACATCTAACAACGCGGTTCTCAAAGGCTTTATTCAAGATCTCAATGCCAGACGCAAAACCTTTCAAGATACTGGCCGAGCCGTGCATGCCTCTGCTCTACAGGAAGTCGAGCAAGAGAGAGAGGTTGCCTTCGAGGTTGAATCAGTGAGACAGGTCAAGAAGCCTCAACACTTTGGTGCTTTCTCTTTCCCGGGTCTCAACGCCAGCCTCGAGGCTTTTATCAGAACTGGAAGGCTTCCTGCAGATACCAATTATTTCACTCACGTATTCCATGCCATGTCAAAGACAGGAACTGGTCGCAAGTACAAAGTGCAGCCGAACATAACCAAATCAAAATTACTCGAGACGGCTGAGTTTGGCAGAACTATCAAGCCCAAGGGAGATCTCTCTACCGATGACTTCTTGGTATGTCTTTTACTCACTTATCCTCCAACAATCATAGAACTAACAAAGCCTCAGCGTCCCGTTAATTGGATCATTTGGAGCTCTGTCGCCGAGATCGCTGTCATTATCATGCCGGAAGAAGCCGAAGCTTTGATTCCCATCATGCGGAACTCAGTTGTCCCCACGCATCTTCTAGTTTACTCTGCACCAATTACACGAAAAATGCTCCGATTCAACGATCTAACTTTCCATAGCATTCCTCCTCTCCCTAAGGACTGGAAAGCTCCAAAATGGCTTCGGGTTGAGCTTGGGATCTACGCCGGGCGCTTGTACTTTGAGTGGGACGAATACGATGCCATGTGCTCCTTACTCGGAATCCAGAGTGGCGAGCTCTGTAACCAAGCACAGGATGAACCTACTGAGACCGATACGGATGCTGAGACAAAGACATCCAAACCACAAACTGACCTCGAAAACAAGCTCGCCAAAAGTCCACTGACGTTTCTACAAGAGTGGCTAGCAGTCCGTCGCCGTGGGCAGGACTTCGCTCACAGCCCCATGGGCTTTGTCAGCCAGGGCAAGCGTCTCCAAGCGGATCATGTTTTCTTCAAGGCAGCAGACGTGGAGAATGGGATAGCTCAAGAGACTGTGTTGGCGCCAATTCGTTTGTCCAGTTCAGCTGAAAACGACGGGCAGGATGATGATGGCGACTACGGCGTCGACGACATGGGTACTAACCAGGCTGGAGATGGTGACACCAGCGACGACGATAAAATCGAGTACGACGAGTCCGAGTACGCCAGCGCATCATCAAGCGATTGAAAGTAGTTTTTGGAAGGAAATCATCTCTTTTGACAATGGCTTAAGTTATGACGATATAGATAGATGGCTTAGTCTGAGGTCTTGGTCATATCGATGGTATTTGTACGGTTTAGTGTAATGGAATATATGTGTGAGTTTTGTAATGTGTGTGAGTTCATGATGAAGGAGTGATGATCTTCTCAAAATGTCCCCTGGATAATAAGAATACATTATGAAAGTACGAAAATTTTATGGCTCCTAATGATACTTAATCTTTGAGGGACTTATGCTCAGTTGTTGAATTAGTTCAGCAGGCCCCCAAAGCCATTCTGAACAGGAAAAGCATGTAAACAGACTTCCTAGCCAGGCAGCTGTCCCCTGCTTTGTTTCACAAACCTATATCACCAGAGGTTTTCATCAGTCAATGTCGTTTTACGGATACGCGTTTTTGAACTCAGAGAATCAATACATCTTTATCTCAATTACTTGGGCAAACAAGGGTTATCCGACCATATCTGACATGATGCTTTCCCATCCATCTAATTGTCTCTGAATTAAACCCATGTCCCAGCATCAACCATTACACCTCCCGTCCAAGAAAATTCGTTTCAAATTGTGACAATAATACAGAGCAAATCGCTCGACATGAATGCGCCATCTTTCAATACAAATAGAGCTCGTTGCATCGTAACATTCTTCAGTTGGCAGATTCCTAAACCAGACTGTCTTCCAGACGCTTGAACTCATGAGGTGTCCACTGGAAAACACCTTGTCGAAGAGCAGAGAGAACGGTCTCTCGCTTGAAAAGCTGAGATGGGACGTTGGTACGACAAGAGGCAGCGATACAGCTGTTGTCAGTCCAGCCGACACGGAAGTCATCACCCCACCAAACACGAAGATTTTGAGAAACGCGCACGGTAATCAGAACCGATGAGAGGTCTGTATAGCCATCCAGATCAACACGGGTCAGCTCGTAGCCGCCCTCGGAAAATGTTGGACAAGCCGGTACTTGCTTGGTTTCCGACCAAGCGATGGACTCTTCGGTAGACGAGGTCTCATTCCAGCGGTAGGCTGAGATCTCAAACTCGCACCACTTCTCGTCTCCATGGGCATCACATCCAAGGCTGGCTCCAAAGAGGTCGAATCGAAAGCAAGGGCTGGCGGCGTGAGGGCCTACACCAATCTGGGCGACGTCTCCTGAAATCGTAGATGTTGTGTTGGAGAGTGCCGGGGGGACAAACTCCACTAGCTGACCACCAGAGGTAGGGATGTATGGTTGAGATTGCCTAGAAGAAGGTGGTGCGATAAGGAAACCTCCTGAAAACCAGATGTTCTCAACGGGATTGAAGAGAGGCCCGGGTTTAGAGTTATCGAACTGAAAAATATTAGCAAAGATCTATGTATGAGTATATGGCTACTTACATCAATGGTGGTATTTCCAATGCTTCCTCCTGTTGCACAGATGGAAGGAGAACTGGCTTTGGAAGTCGTTTCTGTGGCCGTAGGAGAAGTAACGCCGGAATCAGAGGCAGTGGTGTTAGACCAAGACATGCCTTGACGGCGAAAGAAACGCTTTCGTGGAACGGTGACAGTGGCAAGAGTGGTGAGAGGGTAGTCGATTGTGTAAGAAGTTGTCTCATCCTTTATGACATTGGTCCAGGTAGTGGTCTGTAGAGTGGCAGTGCCTGCAGAAAGAGGCCAGAGAGTGTTCTCGCTTGCAACAGGTCCGTACGCAGTCTGGGGAAGCTGATCAGAAGAACCGTCCCCTGGTGGGTTACTGGTGAAGGGAGGCTGCTCTGCACCGTCTGAAAACACGGGACCATTTGAAGTGTCAACAACAGAAGTAACAGTCCAAGTGAAAGTTCCAGTGGTTGTACCTGAAGCAGAAGTATCCTGCGCATCGGCGCTAGCATCGGTGAGTATAACCGAAATGGAGTCTCCAGGCATTCCGTCATTGTAGCCGTTGAGAGTTGGGATACTGGTAGAAAGAGGGCCCAGGCCTCCTGTAGTGAGGGCAGGCTCAGAGTTAGATGGAGGTGCAATGCCAGAAGAAGTTTCTTTGGGAACATCAGCAGAAATTCCAAGCGCAGAAGAGTCACTGAAGATAATGGTCTGTTCAGTTGGTGTCGGCTTTCCGTCAGGGCCAAGTACGACAGCAGTTGTGATCGTGGTGAATGCTCCCGGAGAACCAAGAGATGAATCAGCTTGGTCATCAGTAAGGCTTGTTCCAGCGGGATTTGCAGTACCAGTGGGAACGACAAATGTCGAGTCAACAACTGTTGGAAGGCCATCTGTTCCAATGACTGTGTAGGTAATGCAGGTGGTGAGGCCAGTCACCTCATCATCATTTCCACTGGAGGGGAGACTCGATGGGGATGTCACTGGACCAGGATTCCCAGTGGGCAGGCCAGAAGTAAGGGAGTCGGAGACAAAAGATGGATTTCCAGGTGATTCGGATTGGGTGTTGGCAGATCCTGGGATAACCCAGGTCGAATCGACAATTGTTGGAAGGCCATCGGGTCCAATGGTAGTGTAGCTGGTGCAAGTAGTAATGTCTTCGCTTCCATCATCCGATCCAGAGGCATCAGACGGGCCAGAAGAGGGTAGTTCAGGAGTTCCAGTGGTTTGCATGGTTATGGCAGATGTGGCGCCGTTGGGTAGAGAATCCGAAGCCCACGAGGGTCCTTCGGTGCCAATGCTGATACTAGGGTCAGTGTTTGTCGGTCCAGGGATGACCAAAGTGGTGCCCACAACTGTAGGAAGACCATTGGCACCAATAATAGTGTAACTCGTGGAAGTGGTAATAGGGATAGCGCCGCCCAAATTGGATGTTGTAAGGGGGGATCCTGGAACATCATCAGGGCCGAAGGTTGACAGGCCGGAAATGGTCAAGAAGCTCCCTGAGGAGTCCGAGCCAGGAGCGCCAGATGAATGTCCAGAGCCAGAGTCAGATCCAGTTACAGGAACAGCCCAAGTGGAGTGGACCACCGTGGGAAGCCCGTCAGTGCCAATGATGGTGTAACTTGTGCATGTTGATGAGCCGGAGTCTCCAGATCCATCCTGAGGTATGCCAGGTGCAGAAATTGGGCCAGTGGGGATGCTACCAACATCAATTGGTATGCCGGAAAGTGAGGCCTGGGGAATGCCAGTTACGGGAAGTTGTGAGGAGTCCTCAAAGGAAGGTGTGCTGGAAGGGACCACCCACGTGGAGTCAATAACGGTAGGAAGGCCATCAGTGCCTGTGATGGTGAATGTTGCACATGTGGTAATTCCTCCTCCAGGTCCGCTGCCAGGAAGAGATTCAGCCTTGGAGTTGGAAGGACCCTGTGAGCCTGGGATACCGGCAGATACAGCAGAGGGTAGTGGAAACACTGTAGGAACTCCACCTGGGAGGCCCGGGTTGTTGTCACTCTGGGTGGAACCTGGGGTAGCTGAAGGCTGTTCTTGGCCGGGGCCAGCATTGCTGCCGCTGCTGACAATAGTGGGTAACCCGTCTTGGCCAGTGATAGTGATGAAAGAGGGGACAGGTTGGCCGGCGTCATTTCCACCTGGGACGTTGGTGAACCATGGGGAATTCTCGCCTTGGCCTTGAGGACCGGCTTGAGTGGTGACGGGGAGACTGTCGCTCGCCTCTTGGGGAGGCATAGCGGAAGGGAATTGGGGCTGGCTGTCTGGTACACCACCATTGCTTGGAGACCCAGGTGCCGGGAAAGGTGTGGGGCCAGCGGTGTTGACACCCGAAGCTCCGGGGAAACCCACAGAGGAATCATCACCAGAAGTGCCATCAGAATACCCAGGTGCACCATTGGAACCAGGGGTCTGGGAGAAGGATGGGGAATCGGGGTTGTTCTTAGAGCCATTCTCACCATCCGACCCAGAGCTGTTGCTAACACCTGATTCAGACCCAGAGTTGGAGCCGGAGTTTGAGCTGTCGGAATCATCACTAGGATCATTGGCACCACCGACGCTGTTGCCATTGCCTGTGCCGTTGCCATCTTCGGGGTTGCTGCTATCGCCAGATCCTGTACCATCATCTGACCCTGTACCAGAGCTTGTAGGGCTACCATCGGGACCCCAAATATCGAGCGTCAACGTGGTAAAAGGGGGGACAGAAGATGCCGGCATCAGAGAAGTGAAATCCGCAGGCTTGGTAGGGAAGGGTGATGGGAACTCTGAGCCATCAGAATCCGAATCGTCAGGCCAGGGGAAATCTTGTCCGTCCTGAGTATCTGTGGGGTAGACAGTGACAACAATAGTCTTTGTGGAGCGGAGAGAACAGGTAGGGAGGCCAGAGGCACCAGTGTTGGGAGAACCAGGTGATCCAGGGATGTTCTGGGGTGCATTGGTAGGAAAGCTGCCAGGAACAATAATTGAATCGGCACCAGGAATATTGGGAGAAGAATTACCAGGGAGGTTTCCCGGAATACCACCAGGGACACCACCAGGGACACCACCAGGGACACCACCAGGGACACCACCAGGGACACCACCAGGGACACACCACCAGGGAAGGGACACCACCAGGGACACCACCAGGGATACTGCCGGGAACACCGGGGACACCACCAGGAATACTGCCTGGAACACCACTAGGTCCATTAGGAGGGAGACCGTTAGAGCCACCGTCGGTAGAGCCGGGGCCGACGCTGCTGGGAAATGAGCCAGGAACGTTTTCGGCAGCGCTGCTTGGGTACGAAGGGTTACCAGACCCGTCGGTGTTTCCAGGACTGGTGTTGCCAGAACCGCCAGGCGAGCTACCAACCGGGCTTCCGTTGGGGTTTCTGTCATTCAAGGTTAGCCGCGGACAGAGATGAGCGGTGCGTTGTAACTTACCCGTAGTCAGTTGCCTGAGCGGCAGTATGACCCAAGAGACCGGTGGCCACAAGGAGCCCGAGAGACGCGGCGATACGCATCTTGGGTGATCGACTTCGACGTGAAGAAAGCCGAGCGGTTGAGGGGCGTGTACAAGGAGAAGAGAAGATGTGTGATGATTGCTGTTGGTGGGCAAGTGTAAAATGCTTTGCCAGAAAAGCTGAGAAGAGAGAGCTTGAAGATGAATGCAACAGAAACGAGAGGACTGAGAAGATGCCTCTTCTCGAGTTGAGGAGGATTGAGGATGAAGAGAAAAGAAGATGAGGTGGGATGAAGAAGAGAAGAAGAAGTTTGGGGAACAAGATCGAGAGGAGAAGGATATATACGATGGGTGCAGGGCAGAGGGGGACGAGGGCAGGAGTTCCTTCCTCCTGGAGCGGCAGAATGTTGGGGATGACGCGTTGGGGAGTTGCGCGAGCCAGCGGGTGAGGAAGTCACGACAAGAGGAGGAAGGAGCGCGGGCACTGCTTGAGGCAGTTGTCGCCCCTAGGTACTAGGTAGGTAGGTATTGGACCAGATCAACCAAAGAGGTTGGCGCATCAATTAATGTGAGAACGAGGTCTGGCTTTGTACTTTCAAGCGGTATTTCAATTTAATGTCAAATTAGTTTCTATTGATTGCAATATGTCCTTCTCTCCAAGTTCCAAGAATTTGATATGATACTGTACTGGTCGTTGAACTTCAAACACATGGAATCCAGTCAAAGTCATCATCACATGGGCTTTTGAGCGAGTTGAAAATTGGCAGCCAGTGCTCCTTCCTATTCCCCAGCTGGTGACAGTGTCCTGCACCTGGGAGCCACGCAAGATGGGACGATTTCTCGCGAGGCAAGCACTCAGCAGGCAGTGATGCAAGGTTTGATGCCTCAGTCATTCTGGATCCCAGCCGGCCTTCCATTTTGGAGATGCTGCTTCCGGTGAAGGGAATGTGCTAGGTGTGGTCAGAATAATGAAAGGGGTTCATGCGGCAGAAAATATGAGTACACTGGCATCGAGCCAAGTTGTCGAACCCAATGGCAGTTCTCTGAAATACCTAGATAATCGAGATAAGACTCAACTCGTATTATAGTACTTCATTATCTCTAGTTCATACTACATCATCGGAATAATCAGTGTAAGGGGGAGGTGCATCGGGGTGAGGGTCCTCGTGGGCATCGTCTTGGTATGCCTGACCGCTCGCATCAGTATTCTCAACAGGGCCCCTACTCTCATCCTCGATGCGAGCCGTCCACTGAGCTGCACCAGCTGTAGTGGTCAGGAGAAAGAAGAGGGACAAGACGGGGATGAGTTCAAGGATCATGGCGACTGTGCCGAACCAAACATATTCCCACGCGCGATCCCTCAATGCCGTCTTCTGTTCGGCCTTTGAGAAACCCTTGATTTGGAACCAGCGATAATGAGCGAGCTTGCCGAGTCGAGTCCCAGTAATGATGATAAAGGCAGGCGTGCCAACAACTGGAACGAGGTTGAGCGGCAGGAAGACAATGAGCTCAACAATCTGGATGATGCTCCATGGAGTGTAGATGGCAGCAGTAGTGGGCTTTCCAAGCATTCTGACCGGGTTCGGTGCGTCCAAGAACAGGATTCGCTGTGGCGCAACAAGATCCTTATGTCCAAGCTTGATGAGAGCCGCCTACAATTGTCAGTCTCTGAACTACAAACAACAACCGTCCCTCGGTCCAATTACTTACATCAAATACATCCACTCGACATTCGTCAACGAAGAAACCCTCGAACAGACCCTGGATGATGACCAATCCTTCGCCTAGTACCAGTACCACAGCATTGACCCACGCGCCCCAGCCATGGAAGATCACTAAGAAAGCATACTGGGGCAAGAAGGCAAACGTGAAGAGTAAAAGGTACACCAAGAACGAGATTAGAGATATTGGCAGGATCCTTCCCACCATGAGTGGCCAGAACTCGCGATTTTGAATGAAGAACCAGATGCCACGTAAAGGATACGACGCGGCAACGCCGGCCCTCTTGAGGTACAGCCACGGCCGATGGATTGGGCCTGTCCAAGGTCCTACATGAGGATGGTTTGAGTTCTGATACGAGCCATTGGGGGGCATTTTGACGATTGACACGCAGTGATGGAGGTTTTTGAAGGCATCACCAGGAGAGGCTTACAGTTTACATGTGGTGTTGCAGGCAACAATAACAGCCACTGTGACGTCAAAGAGCGGAAAATCTGACTGAAGAGTGGGGCCGTGCAGTCCTCACTCAACTTCGACTGGTTCAACTACGTTTCAGAATCTTGGGAAATCCCAGCAATGAGAACACTTTCCGGCACAACTTTACAGAAACTTGCAAAAAAGAAAGCCTCGCAAACGCTCGCAGTCGAATTATAGGAACAGCGCAACCTTGAGATCGCGTACTCGTAAGAGTCTCACGCTCTGCCGATTGAGTTAATCGGGCATGGCTCTTATTGGTCGGGAGCCGTGGGCTTAGATGCGTACTGGTGCTGTCGGAGTTGAAGAGATTTAGTCGCCGCTGCAGGTTTCTGAGGGAGATGTAAGAAAGCAAAGATGTTGATGCTTTTCTAACCCTTTTCATGATAGCTTCGAGACTCGAGCGGGGTAAACAGATGTACCGCCTTGGAGGCTGATAAGTGTGACAGCTTGGGCTGATGCCTACTATCTGAGAAAGCTCATCTCTCTGACAATGTGCTAAATGTCCTTTCTACCATTATCAGCTCCCAACTTACGTGATTCTAGTAACTAAAGTGAGACGCCTCGGTTCTTGGTGATGTTTCTTGCTGATACATCGATAGCATCATGAATCCCAAGATCGAATGCCAGTGCGGCGCAGTCCAAATCACAGCCTCGCGACCCCAACCCCTCAGTGTATACTGCTGCCATTGTACTGAATGTCAGAAACAATCTGCTTCTGCCTTTGGTACATCGGCCATCTTCCCAGCTGACGGGATGTGGCCTCTCTCTGAAGATGTCCTGTCCAAGCTCGGAGTCTGGAAACGGCCTACAGACGAGGGAAATACCCTGGAGTGCTACTTTTGTAAGACGTGCGGCGTGAGGGTCCTACATCGTAGCGTCTTGCCAGGCGGCCAAGGTAAGACATATGTGTCAGTGAAAGGGGGTTGCGTTGAGGGATTGAGTTGGGAGAATGCGAAGCATATTTACACTCGAAGCGCTCGTGTTCCTGTGCCTGAAGGAAGTTATCAAACTGTACCAGAAGGACTGGATTAAATTTGGAGCATCGGAAGCAATCAAGCTTCAACACAGGCGTGAGGAGGATGGTTTTGGGTTTTGGACATGTAAGACCAGAAGAATCCTTGACCAGGTTCGTAGAAATGATGATAATTATGATAATCTCGCGTATCTAATACGACCAACGCTGTGCACGCCGGCTGGTGGGGTCATTGGGAATCCGGCCCTATCGGAGGTTCCAAAACACCATAAAGCCGATCCCGTGGGCCATCTCCGACCGAATTTGAGTATCACCGTGTCGGGCCCACATTACCTTGACTTGATCCTCAACATGACCATGCACTTTCTATGAGGCAAGCTAACATCAGACTTTTGACATCGACCTAAGCCTCAATGATGATGTTGATAGCCCTGAGTATAGACAAGGGAATAACAGATGGCATTCAGAAGCAATAGGTAAAAGGATATATAAGTCCTCGTCGCCCCTCTCCTCAGCCATGAGCTCAGCATCATTACCGTTTATAACAGCCTTGACATCAGGCCTATCATAGAAAATGGCTGTCCGAACACAACTTTTTCCTCCCTCCCCTACTTTCACAGAATCTTCCCTCCCCTCCTTGAACTCCAGGGTATACATCGTCACCGGCGCAACATCTGGTGTTGGTCTAGAACTGGCCAAGATTCTCTATTCCCGCTCAGCGATCGTTTACATAGCTGCACGCAACTATTCCAAGATCACGTCGGCCATAAAAGAGGTCCAGTCGGCGTTTCCTGATTCAACAGGACGTCTTGAGTCGCTATGTGTTGACCTTTCCGACCTCGCAAGTATCAAGCCTGCAGCTCAGCGATTTCTCGCCAAAGAACCAAGACTCGATGGCTTAGTGCTCAATGCTGGAGTCATGATGCCTCCTGAGGGTAGCAAGACCGAACACGGGCATGAGTTGCAGATGGGAACGAACTGTTTGGGTGGATATCTACTGTCGCGACTTCTCGAGGAGCTTCTGGTGAAGACCACGGTTGTCGCAGACGAGGGAACTGTTCGAGTTGTATGGCTTGCGAGTACCCTTCAGATGGGCACGCCCAGGGGAGGCCTTGTCTGGGACCAGGTCAAGAATGAGCCGAAAGTGGTCAAAGATCAGATGGAGAACTACATGATGAGCAAGGCCGGTAATCTTCTACTGGCCTATGAGACTTCTCAGAGATTGGGATCGCAAGGAATTATATCCGTGGTGAGTTTGCCCCATGGAAGTGATAGTGCGATGCTGACGAGGTAGGCTGTCAACCCAGGGTTCTTGAGGACAGAGCTTCAGCGTCATCTGCCCGAACCTGTGTCTTTCATGATGGTAAGTGGGCATATTACGTCTTGAGCAAATATGCTGACGATATGTAGGGCCTCATGTTTAAAGCGCCCAAGTATGGAGCTTATAGCGAGCTGTTCGGACTGCTGTCACCAGATATCACCGCCGACTGGTGTGAGAGAGAAACTCGTCAGTACAAGTAGTTGGAGGCAATTGCGCAAGAAGTACTTGGTTTGGTGGAGTGATTTCCATTTAGATCTAAATAGTCTCACACGGGTATCATATCATAACTTATCCTCAACGCCGTTGTGCAAAACGAAACCATGCTCTACTAGAACTCGTCCTTTTTCTCCCCGGTCCTTCGTTCCTTGCGACTGACCTGGTTTAGTCGTACGTCCACCACAACTGGCCTATGGTCCGAGATGAAAACCCCATCCTCATATCGCGAATTGACCACTGCAAAGGCCTTGAATTCGATGCCGGTTGGGTCGTGCACAAATATGTGATCGAGATACATGTCGTCCCAAGGCACTGTAGTAAATCCAGTGTAAGTATATGACGAATGTCCATATCGCTTACTCTGCGGGACAAGGCTCTTGACGTCGTTCATGGTTTTGGCGAGATGCTTGTAAGCTGCGCCGCTAGGGGAGGAGTTGAGATCGCCGCCAATGAAGACAGGTATGGTCTCGCCGTCGTGTATGGACCAGGTCTCGGCAATATCAGTAATGAGTTTCGCCGAGTTAGCACGAGCCTTCTTCCCCTTATGGTCGAAATGTGTGCACATGTAAACCATGCGATTGCCCGTAGCGGCGTGTTGAAAGCGCACGACGGTGACAATCCTTGGGAATGCGGCGTCCCATCCCCTGGAACCAACTTTCTCAGGCGTGTCGCTCAGCCAGTATGTTTTCTTGTCCTCAATATTCCAAACAGAAGGACGGTAGAAGATTGGGGAGAATTCATCACTTTGGCCGCCCCTCCGTCCGATACCATAGTAGTCCCACTCGCTTCCCAGATCTTGTTGGATGTCTTGGATTTGCGGATACAATGCTTCTTGCATGCACACGATGGATTCCGGTCTTCCAGAGGTCTCGTAGTTGATCTGGGCTGTTAAGCGTGGACGACGAACTGGCCATCGTTCCTCGCCCCATTGGGGCTTGTTTGGTGCGAGGCGAATGTTGTAAGTGATAAGTCGAACATCAGTGCTTCGAGATAGAGGCGCTGCAGCCGCAAAAGCAGCGGAGAGAATAACAGACGTGAACTTCATTTCAGGTTGTTGCAATTTTTTGTAGATGTTAGAGAGAGAGAAACCCGTTATGAGGGCTTTGATCCCCAGCGGCGGCTTTATGATCGGGTTGCTTTTTGGTATAATTGTGTGGATACGGGTGACGCAGCTTTACTTACAGTCGATGTTGTCACTGACAAGTCTCGGCAGCGACAACCAACGAACTGTAACTAAGGTTTATTATTGAGACTGATGCAGATTCCAGTTCCAGCATATGGGATTTGGCCTTCGGGGGTACCGGGACCTCTTGTATATAGGATACCGGCGGGAGGTTCGGGTTCACCCGCAAAGAATTCTATGACGATCACCAAGAACGAGCAGCCAGTGAAATCGATAGTGCCTGTAGCCCACTCGCAGCGTCGTACGTACGCAATGGGCGGGCCTCCGTAAGTGGCGTGCATTCGTCAGGTCCAAGATAAGCTTGGTTGGTTGTAATTCTCATGGCTTGGTATTGGCTGAATCATTGGCATTGGGTTGCATCCCCCACAAGCCGACTCAGTTAGCACTATCTTAGTAGGTATCTACCCGATCGACCCTTGTATAATTCTTGCACGAGGCACTTTATTAGGCTCTTGTTTGACGTTTTGTTCACTGTAACTAAGTAAGGTAGCCTTGTATGTGCGGCAACTCTTGCATTATGCACTATCACACCGTATTCTTTCCAAGAGTCTTGTGGTGTGGTCATGCATGATTCTGTTGGTCCAGTCAACGCTAACAGATAACACACATGGGCTCCGCAGCATGCCAAGCGAATAACTAAGCTCACAAATGATTGATAATCTTTGAGCAACGGGCATATTCTCTTGTTCAATACAGGCAGCGAGCATCGGAGTCAATCAGTCCTTGGCAAAGGCGGTCCAGTTGCAACTAATGTTGCATTTCTCATCCAAGTTTGTCCCCAGTCAGAAAAAGAATAAGTTCACGCTATAAAGAGGGGAAATATGGGTGTAGTTCCAAGCTCCATGGACGATCAAGATGGCTGGTACAACAAGTCTACAAGGTTATGCCAAGTTGGCATTGATGATTCCTCCGTATGTGCGCCAAGAGACAACGGGTCGGAAACAAGTACCGCCCAGTTCTATACAAGGTAAACCTATGGCCCTTGGGCATTGATGGCCTTACTGGACTCGACTGTGAGCCTCTTAAGGCAATGAATGGTATTAGGTCGATAGACTTCAGGAACGTCGACCACGAAGCCGAAGCGCAAAGCAATCAACAGCTCAAATAAGTGCAAGGTCTTCTGAACACGCGTCAGATCATCAATTCGGACGGAGTTAAGACTTTCATGCAGTCAGCACCTTCTTACCTCACCTCAGGCGACGATCCTTCGTAGGAGTGCGTTGTTGGGCTAGCGAACACCCACCCACTTACCGACCTCTTAAGAAATCGTACTCGGCGTACATAGACAAAAGCACCAACAAGAGGTTCGTTTTTCTCAAGAAGACAAAAGTCCTTATACGAAGCATGCTCATTTTTTTAAAAGCTCCATCAGGTGGCTTAAACTTTCCCTGAGCCTTGTTATAACCCCTGTTTCTAGAACGCCTTTTGTGAAGAGAGGTGGCGGCATTCAAGCCAGAACTCGGCTTCAAACAACAAAGTTTGGACACAAACTATGGCAAACAGAGTTTTGGATTAGATCTTCGTTGATCCTTCGCAACGATGAATGCCGCGGGTTTCTATGAGAGGCGTGAACTAATCTTCAACATATTCATAACCCAACTTCAGGTCGGACTCCACCAGCCTCGCGATACCCTCATGCAGCAAGAGCCCTTGTAAAGGCCCGACTTTCGCCACCTTCGACAACTTTAGCCACGGGTGTGAGGTACGCATCTTCATGTCCACTCTCTGCCTGTAGATGTCGCACATATGCCTGTGCAACCTTGAACCAGCTCTTCTTCTCAGCAGCGCTCGATCCGCTTCCCTGCCAGACCCAAATGGCTCTTCCACCATCATCAAGCAAGAAAACATCGTCGCTTTCTAGGTCATTATGCAATATGCGTTCAGCTTCCTTGACAAGACCAAACGAGAGCTGTCCTGATGCGTCACTGAGTCTGAATAGCTTCTTGGACGCCTTGTCAGTGGTGCGAGGAGCAAAGGGTTTCTTGCAGTGGAAACCATCGCGGGGTGTTTCATCATCGCCGCCGAGAAGATCGACAATTCGTCGCGAGCGGGACTCGGTCTGTGCAATAACTTCGACCTCTGAATGTTTTGCGACAGTCATATCATGGACGATCTGGGCTGCCTTTGCCTTCTCTATTGGACTGCAATCCTTGCCCTGCCACACCCAGATCTTGTCGCCAACATCCAAAACAAAGACATCAGTGTCGTCAAGGCTTGTCCAGGTGGGCTCGACTTCGTGAACAACAACCCCGTTGGCGCCAGCAGCTGGGTTCTTAAACACACGCAGCAAGGCGAGCTTCTGCTTTGGTTCCTCTTCTTCTTTAACGTGTCTGAAACCAGACTCAACTCCGCCTGACCGGATCGAAATTCGTGGGAACAGTGCTAGAAAGTCGTCTGAAGGTGCCTCTTGAATCTCCCGGTGCTGGGTTGCCGAGCCTTTGAGGAACTCATCCAATTCGACAGTCTTGTACGCTGCGGTGCCTGCTTCATCCTGTGACGTATGCTTTCCCAGCCAAAAGAAGATGTCATGAACGAGCTTCTCGGTACCATCATTACTGCCAATCAGTTCCGAGAAGAGTACGATAAAGCTATCGCCATCATAGAACTGGCCGTACTTTTCCTTTGGCCAAGGAACGACCTCGAATTGCTCAATGTGCCAGATAAATAGCCCAGGCTCAACGCCAACTCTGCCATCATTCCAGGCTGGCTCCGTAAGCGCTGAATTGTACTTGACTTGATGGTCAATATCAGACCCAATCAGCTCCACGTTGCTATCCTTGATATCATATTCCTTTGGATGAACGAGGCCTTGATTCGGTGCCATATTTGTTTTGGCTTTAGGGTGAATGGGATGCAAGAGGATGCAAGAAAGTGTAATAATACTGTACTGTAGATAGGTAGTGATAGGTCTTGTCCACAATGTTTTGAGGCGTTTGCAATTCTGAAACAAGCAAAGTCCCTCCCTTGATTGATATGACCTCTTTACGTGAGATTGCTCTATGCGGGGAGAGCATGTGCCCTGATTGGAGCTCACTTGGCATGGATTTGATGACTGATCAATGAGGCGCTGAATGCGGCCTGGCGATCTTTTATTATTAGAACAGGGACCAGATACAGGTTCGACGGGCTTCAATCACCAGTCAGATATGCTTGGTCCAGATGCATCACATAGATCAATCCACATTCATTAACAGTACTATTATCCAAACAAGCTAAAGACTCCGTGATGCTGTGATCGCTCCTATGCTTCTGATCTGCCAAGCTTATCGAAGATTGTTTACTACACTTCCCACCATCACAGCGACCTCTCGGTCCCAGTTCACTTCCGTCTTCGTTCTGGCCTTTGATCCTGCCAATGCGCTATGTAACTGAGATCCCTTGACAACAGATTGGCGAATTGCGTCTCCAACCGTGTTCTTATTCGTTCGTAGGGTTCTAGCCACGACACCCCCACGATTCATGATATCCTGCACACGCGTAGCGAGACTGCTGGCCATGGTCCTCCAGAAGAATGAGGCGAGACTTCCTGTCTCAAGATGTGCGAGAAGAAACTGGAGTAAGCTCGATTGGGTGGGCTGGCTGGAGGTGGGCAGAAGAGGATGGGCTGGTGACCTTGTAGTCTCGAGAACAGCCTCAAGGGAGACCACGTTTTGACACTTGGTCATAACATCAGCCAAGGCCTTATCCAGCGTTGGCAGTTGGCCCAGAGAACGAGATAATGCCGTAATGCTTGCTTGTAGCGCCGATCGTATATAGGTTTCTAAAGACTGAAGCAGCAGCCTTGGGACCCATTTGTCGGGCTTGAAACCAGTGGTTGGTGATAGCAGGTAGAGGGCAGTCAAAGCAGACGCTGTCAGTGCCTTGATGTCTTCGACTTGTGCAAAGGTCGAGGTTGACTGTACAGAGAATTCGCGAATGGTGCGCTCCGCCCGCTCGCGGACTGATCGATCGATGGGAGTAACGACTGTATCCTGCAGACTCTTGACGGCGTCCACACGGTTGAGTCCAAAGCCTTCTTCACCGGGAGCTTTACGATCAAGCACTTCTCGAAGTGACAGAATTGTGTAAGCACAGCGTACCAGGGCCCGATGGTCCTCCTTGCCGGTTCCGCTGTCGAGCTCCGAATGCTGAACCTCGAGCTGTCGACCAAGCTGCAAACATCGTCCAACCGAGCGACCAAGCTTTAGGGTCTCCCATAACCGCAGAGCAACGAGCCGAACCTCGTCTGCCTCAGCATGTTTATCGATGACCTCCTTCTCAAGCTGGCGGTAGCTGTCGTTCAAGCTCCGGATCTGGCCATCCAATTCACCAACAATGTTCTTGGATGCTTGTGTCTGTTCCTGAGTATAATTGAGCAATGGGACGGCCGAACGGGTCGTCAAGACATCGATATGTGAGTCAATCTCTTGAGCATCGAAGAGAACGCGAGATAGGGGGGTAGAGAGGTCGAGGGGTGTATCGTTAGGGTTATTGGTCGAAACAACGAGCGTATTCGCAAAGGAAGCGGGGGAGAAATCAGGGTCGAGGAAGGTCTCGTAGTCGATGTATGACGGTTCTTCGTCGGCTATGATGTCTTCTGCCATGGTGTATATAGACGGACACGATCTCGCTGTTGGCTCTCAAGGTTATAACCGTTGACAGCTGGTGATGTTGGCGCAAGCTTAAAGTGTTCAATTGGCTCTTGGTGGGTGGGTGTTCTGGAAGCTTGCTGGCCTTTTCGGGCATCGCTCTCCCGCAGGTACGTACCCTTTCCACCTGAATATTCTGCATCTCAGGCACTTGAAGCAAGCTCCTTGGCTTGGCGGCTCTGACGGAGCAGAATGGATCCATCTCATCGCCGCGGGGATTAAACGTGCCTACTA